CTGATCATCTGCCTACGAAAAATTTGAAACGTTTTCACTCATCACCTGAAATTATTTATAAACTAAAAGGTCACATGCAAATATTAGCAGTTCAAATGCGTTTACTGGTGGTTGATCAGATGGACGTTGGTTTCTTCACTGAGCTTGACACGTTTCTTACAAATGTTTTTCCCTAGTCTTGCTGTCTTCCTCGACTGGGCATGGAAAGTTTGAAAGCTCATTGCCAAGCTCGGCGAGCAGATCAACGGTCATCTGATTGACCACCACTGTTATCATCAAAGCACATCCGATTTACAAACCAATACAGTCAACAAGCGTTCGGCGTCATCTTCGTATTAAAGCTCTCATTCGTATAATTGTTTATGGCGGATATAATGCAATGTATTGGTAGGATACGTCTGAAAACATCCGACGGTTTGTTTGATCATCGCTTTTACTTTGGTGTGAAAGTTAGGTTTTGTAAGTACACAAGTAGACTACTACACAGTATGCGGTAGAGCATTAACTGAAGCGGTTGGTTCAATCACCTGAAAGTTCCAGTTGGCACACCTGGTCAAGTTTGGCCGTGAACGGAATTTCGCCGTCAGATTTTCAGAGCGAATAATAAATAAAGACTAACCATTAAGCTGTAACACCCTTTCGGTACCTAGCTGTCATGCCACCCGAAGGAAGCATGAGGGCTGGGATACTGTCAGGTCGACCAAGCCTAGACAGGGGAAGTCGAGAGGGAGAGGTCGGGTTCGAACCATGGACCTCCGGGTCAGTAAATTCGCGCTCTAACCACTAGACTATCTCACCACTTTCAGAGCGGCAAGTGACCATTTCTCTGGAACGGACTAAAGAGTGAATATATATATATATATATATAACGACTAGTGAAACTCCATGAGGCTACCGCACCGCACTACCGATAACCTATAAGTAGCTTGGAGAATGGATAATTCACACGATGAATGAAACTTACGTCTGAGAAGCCGGTAAGAACCAACGCTCCATGAGGCTGAGAAACCGCACTACCGATAACCTATAAGTAGCTTGGAGAATGGATAATTCACACGATGAATGAAACTTACGTCTGAGAAGCCGGTAGTTGAAGAACCAACGAACACTTGACCGTACGATGTGGATTACGCAATTCAGGTAGTAGGTTCATCATACTCTGTCTTTTATTTGATCACACTGCTGATAAGCCGTTTGCTATCGAATCTTTGTGCTCAAACTAGCCGGAAAGTCGCAGGTTTCAAACTTTCTGGGCTTTCATGAAGTGAATACTATTGATGATTCCCAACAAAATTGGGGCAGCTAGACAGCACTTGTCTGGTTTTCAGCATTGATTGTCTTTACATGCAAGATGAACCCTTCAGAGAGGCTTCCTAACGCCCTTAAAAGTAGCAGGTATTTTGCATTTTAGCACAATGGACATTGTCTTATAAGCCGCCTTTTTGTATGGTAAACAGGGTTGTATGTCGACGTAAGTATTTGATGCTCTGTTTTTCCCGAAATTTTATGAGTGAGCAAGTTTTCTTACCATCTAAGTAGGTACCCTGAGGCCACGATCATCATACGGTTACAATGGAACGGGCCTTCAGCGATTCCCCAAAGAACCGCACCAATTCTCTCAGGAGGGTCACCCTCTGAATGATGAAGGGCAAACCTGAAAATCTTGACTACGTTCACTAATGTGCCATACTTTCTGTCGTTTGTGGATAAGCCTCAGTTACCGGGCTTTTTTACTGGGTACCGCTTCTTTCTAGCCCTTCGAAAGGAGGGTATGGTACTGATTTTCATTTGCATGTTTTTAGAGGTAGCACATATTTCTACACGACTTATTTGTATGGAACACCCCGAGAGTGACCGCTTCTGCTGTTTAAACACGTCAGTTTTCCACTAAATTTTAAATGTTTCTTCGAAGTGCTCCATTGTTCTTCGGTGACCTTGTTCCATGAACTTAGTTGCGTAATATTTTTTTCTTCATTTCAAACCTAGATCGAATTTCAAGGCCCGACCATCAAATTTATTAAACTAGGTTGATCACCAAGTATAAAATACTCTATATTCAACCTCTTCGTCTAACAACACAAGGACAAATGTCTTGACCTCCATAAAAAAAATGTAGTATTGAAAAAGGCCAACTTAAGTTTAATAAAGCCAAAATTTACATAACGGAACCCCCAGAAGTTTATTGATTACACAATATAAGTATTTTGAATTCTTTTTTGAGAGGGCGGCTGCCCCTTTTTATTCACGTATTATTCAAGTACCGGTTTGACTAGCGCTAACCGTAGGCAAAACTTACTCTGTTATCAGCAGTGATTACGAAATCCCCTAAAACTATGAATACAATAAACCTCCAAAAAGGGCGAGTTAAGGGTTTATTATTAAGTAATTTGTTTCGGATATAACACGTTCATGCAATTGTAATTTTTCAAGCCTTGACCAGTGTTGAAAAGCGTAAAGACACGTAAAAACACGCTAATCAAAGTAGGTGCAATACATGCGGAAACGAAAAAGTTCGCTGATGATCACTTATCGGCTAATTTTGCTAGATCTCAAATAGCACACGAATAATCCAGCGTGAACTCTTGTAAGCTTGTGGTCAGAAGCTTACTAAATTACGAATGGTGATGGTCACAAACTCCCCAAGAATTTATTGAGGCTTCTACATATCATAGGTGATATGAATATGCACAGATGACAATATTATTTTCATGACAATCTGGGAGCTTGATTCTTTGAAAAACGCTTTCGCTGATAATGTTTGATCTTTTACACAAATAAACGTCGGAATAAAGTCCCCAAAACTCTTCTAATAGCAAACTTAATTAATTAAGCCGCCTGATTTTCATCAAGAATTCCTTATTTATTCAAATGATCCGCGAAAGGAAACCGCGAGCGAGAACTGGTACCCACACCACTTTATGCCATTTGGCAAGTTTTGACGTAAAGGGATCCTTTCGGTTTATGATTCCACCAAAATAAATGACATTTTCGAAATTTCGTCTAGTTTTACTTAATATTTTCGATCTAAAAGTACGAAAACACGACCTCATGGAACGTAGATGTGTTTCAGACGTTTTATTGATGACGAGAATTTGTTAACCAACCGGCAAAACAGAAAAACAAACAAATAATTTTACATTAACCAAAACTCTCTGTTTGATTTTAAGAAGACAAGTAATAAAACAGAAGTGTAATAATGTATTCATGGACTATGGGAACTACAAACACGGATTGGAAAAAGAACGTCCGTTTAAATGATGGAAATCACACCAAAACTCAAGACTGATTAGTTCTTTAATGTGCCTTGATGAAACATTTGGAGGACTAACATATCTGGCTTGGTCATTCAAAACCTTCAGCGTAGTTTACGGCCTCACGACTGCCTCTGAGGTTTTTCAGGTAACTCACAATCATCTTAAAACCAAAAACCTTAAGCTCAGACAGTATATCCTACTTCTTTGCATATACAGTGCATATATAGTGACCAATGTGCCTTAAACGGTGTTTGACTAGCAGTATTTAGCGGTCCTGAAAAGTGGAAGTTGCGGCTACTCTCATCAGACATTGTGAACGGCAAGCATTTTCACTTAGCAATTTTGTTCTTAACAGTTCGTATTGGTTCGCAACAGTCGAATGGTTATGGAATCATCAGGTAGTTTTTCTGACAGAAATTCTACTTAAAAAGTTGTCCGTTTACTACAGAATTCTTCAAGATTATGGTGAATACGCCTGAGTCTTCCACAATAGCGCACCTCAGAGCTGTGTCACTGCCCTGATAGTTGACATCTACAATATGTAGATTTTGAACAGACAGCAGTAAAACGCTAAAATATTCATAAGTTTTCTACATTTAAGGCTTAATTGGCATATCGGGGCTTACAAAATGCCGTCGAACCTCTCAAGAGAAGCCATAGTGAAATTATTATCGTTTCTAAAAGAAACCGGTGTTTTAAACTCAGAAAGCAATAGTAACAAGATGTGGCATCAGTAGTCTGAGATGCTCGACTGCTTGTCCTGTATGTCTTCTGGTGACAGGACCTTTGCAAAATCTGCGTATTTCCGCTAAACGCTGTTTGTCTAAACCTCCGGTTGATCATGCAAGTTTTTTTATGCTGATGGCTTACTTAGATCGGTAGAAAGCCTAATCTTCATGAAGCTCAACCTCTGGAATTCCAGGTTTCACACCACCTGTCACTTGTAAATAAACATTACTTTACTTCAGAGTTGAACTGGGACAGTACGGACAGCCGCCTGAGTAATAATGCATTCTCATTCTCTGGACTTCATCCTTCGAATTAGTATTCCTTCAGTGCAGAATCCTAACCACTCCTTTTCTTATGTATTTTACCGCTAGGTCCGAGTTTTTAGCCACCTCACATCATGTCAACCCTCTTAACACGCTTGACAGTAACCAACAAGGTATCAGGACCAGAAGTGTTGCCAGTAAGCTTTCATATCATCATTGTTCCTTGCTCTTAGCGCAAACCTGTTATTTTTTTCAGCCAGAAGCTCAATAAATAACAACAAAGGTGTAATTCGGTCCAATGTGGACCAGTCTCTTTTATCTCTCCGTCATTTAGCGATAATTACAGGATGACCACTATCTTGAGATAGTAGTCTACTTGTCTTCCATGTTCTCCTAAACATTTATCTTTGAGTGATGAACAAATTGAAATGCCTGCGCTTTATTTGATTTTCTTGTCCATAGTTGTAACTTGTCTGGTCCATTTTCTTCATTTTCAACAGATTTAGTGCCTTGAAGCTCAAATGTTGACGTTTAAATCAAGATTTACTTCCGCCCACGTATCCTTTCCTGTCATTTTGCCATACCGCATGACGATTTCAAGACACAGAGTAAGTTCGTATATTTCATTAGTACTCATTTAGGAAAGCGCACGACCCCTGTTGCTTTACAGAAATTTAAAACATAGTCTAATCCTGTCGCGCTTGTATGCTGGCTGCAGCAATAGTCACTTGCCATATAAAACCGCTTGCAATACCAGTTTTTTAGGTTTACCACGAAACAAACAAAATCCAACTATAGACAATTTTACAGTTTGATAAACATTGCTCAATGTTTAGCAGACATGATGAAATCCAGTTTGGAAAAGCAAATTTTATGGGTGAAGCTATATAAGTTATTCGGTCATGTATAACATACAACTTAGATTGGTGTGTAAACGAGTCTTCCAATTCCGTGTAATGCTGAAGCTATCATTTCAAGTGATATGAAGATAATTCATTCAGAAAAAACAACAGTCGACTACACTTTCTTGGCATGTGACAGTCTATTCAGATAGTGCATTCTGTAGATTTTAAGTCCACTTCTAATGAAGCAACACTGAATGGGCTTCTGTTTACGGTAGACATACCAAAATCTCTCAGTGCTGACAGTATAGGGTAAAAAGACGGGCAAATATCCAAATAAAAATCGGTTTATCGCACACAAATTATTTTGCACCGTCACTGGCCCACTAACCATCTAAACAGGATAGTTGAAGAGGTAGAACCCAAAGTTATTTTTCAACAATCCCGTACCAGGAGCATGTTAACTATTCTACACGCGAAAGTTGCGGACTAGGATAAAACCGCCTGAGGGGTAAAAAATGTTGGCTATATTGAAAACTTTGATTCTATGTGGAAATGTCTGTTTCTTTGCAATTTATTTACGTTCCCAGACCATGATGGTGAACTGACAGGACTGAACCAATATTCTGGAGTCCACTGCCAGGTAAATTCTTACCAGTGCATGCATGAAGCGACAAAACTTGCTCTCGTTCTACGTTTTATGGGACAACTTATAAGGTGTAATGGTATTGTAACCCGAAGTCTTCTGAAGTTTATCCTTGTGCCACTTATTTGATAAACCTTAACTTAATGTTCGTAAACATGGATACGAAAATTGGGAATCAGAGATGCTTCTTTGCAGTAGAGACAAGCAACGAGCACCCGAAAATGAGGTACTACCTATTTTCCGGCCGTGACGTACTTTCGGTGTAAAGCCAGGTTACGAAAACTGAGGTTGGATTAATTTAGGTGTTGAACCGGGAATGGGGTTCTCCTTTGACCAAACCTACTGCTGCCTAAACAGCTCCTAAATTAACGTGTGCTGTTGAAAGTAGCCGTTGTTCAGAGTCCACGTAACCCCCTGAACTAAAAAAAGCTTAGCTTAATTTTGGCCTAGAGCAATCGCTCTCAACGGTTAAGTGGATTTGCGCCAGAGACATGTATCATATTTATTATTAAATTTTTCAGGCTTTGGATACTAAAACAGCTCAAAGAAAACACGTAAATTTGTTCGCAACTTACAGCTCCAAAACAAAGTACTGGAAGAGAATAAGAACTTGGCATTTCGTAGCCACTCAGTGGAGCATTGATTATGCAAATCTAAAAGCCTTCAGGTAAACCCAACTTAGCATCTGCTTGGCAATAGCGATTTTTGTAAGTCCACCGACTGGATGTTTAGGCAATAAAACATCAATCGCATGCAACAGGTCTTTTTTAACTCAAGTGCGGACAACATCATGTCAACGTTTATCCCTTCTCAAGGAGTTTATGAAAAAGCTATATCAGAACGCAATGCATGCTTTTTGCTTACCATTCACTACTTCAGGGGAAAGAGACTTTACCGGACAGGAGAAAGAGTCTTTACCGGATAGGCGGGCCACTTCGTGTCTACCAATTGAAAAGGGAATTACGTTGTTGACCTGTGTGCTCGCTATCGTTAATTTCTAATCGACTAATATGTCTAATCTGGATGATTGGCGGAGTAGAAACTCAATAACTACAATTCTCTTAACAAGTGAAAGGCACAAGCAGAAGTAGAATTATTCTGTTCTTTTACAATCGGATGCAGAGAGCTAGTTTTTCATAAAATATTATACACTCTTCCCTCTTCAATTAACTTCCGTTTGTATAGCGCACGGCCAAAAATGGCGACGTGCATTACAGTAACCCACTTTCTCAGAAAAAGATGGACAAAAAGCCTGATAATCAAAGGTTTTAAGAGCGAAAATTACTTGACAAGGAAATCGCAGCTCACCTGCATAACTCAAGATCTGTTAGCAAAAATCAACTAGAGCATAAACTACCAGGACTTAAACCTTAATACAGAATAGTTTGCAGAATAATCCGAATAGGCGACCTAGGAGAATTCTGTTAAGAAATGCAGTGGGCCCTTGTACGTGCGCACGTTGTTGAAATGTTGTAGAACCAAACGGCATCCGGTTCTTATACAGAAAATAAACTATACGACAGTCCATCTTCATTTTGTCTTCATCCTTAACTAAGCTCTCCCAGTGTGAGTCAACTGTGGAAAAAAGATTCAAAATTTAAATCAAAATCCTCCAACACTGAGACAGTTTTCTGTTTCGTCCAGCGTCCATCTTGTTTAGTAGATCATTCACATTTTGTCGTAAAACTAAAGACATGTTGTTAGGCCCTCGATTTTGCCTCCATTAAGGATTTCTAAGGGACAGTAAGTAGGTTATTTGCTTATTTCTACCTGTGATGAGGCCTCGTTGTCGGCACTGCCCCAGAGAGTTAAAGAGATATTGATACGGCAAAGCTGTATGCTGAATAACTATGGTGGCTTTGAGTATGTGCAACAGAAATTCGATCTACATTTTATTCGCTCCATCGGGCAGCTGGTTGATATAAGACAAACTGTCTATCCACCGAACCACTGGCATCTTGCTTCTGTAGCGTGTGCATTTGGAAAAGGTCGAAATAGTTTGAATGTCAACTTTGTGCTGATAACTCAAAAATGAGTTATCGGCAGTATAAAGCTCCATCGCATGGTGCTGTTAGGGTACCAGTCCGACAACCTAAGGATGCCCAAACACTCTCAACGCCGCAGTTGGTGTCCCTCCTGTTTTACCTGAGATGTAAGAAAAATATCAGTATCTCATTTCTGGGTAGATGCAAAGTGGAGTTATTAAGAATACAACTTAGAGTTTTCAGTCTGAAATCTCATTCTAGGCATTTAGTTTATCGCGCGCTTCTTGTTCTTCGCTAGCGCATTTTGAAAGCTAGTTCCACTTTTGTGGACGCTCCCAGATGTTTTTTGTCCTTATTAGTTAAACAACTTTTATTTGACACAGTGGTTCCTAAGTTCCTATCGTGGGCCAGGATTTCTGAGTAAGAGTGCGTAACTAACCTCCTTGAAATAGTTGGGCTAAAGTGTGCACGGCTTTATGTCGTCTGCGATAAACTAGAAACTTGAATGGAAGAGATCTGGCAATGGGCCTACGTATACTGCAAAAAGTCTTTCGTGACTCCCTCCTTGGGATTCCCAATTATGATTTGCCTAACTTGCGAAAAATTGATGTTTGCTTTCCTTTCTAATTCTTGTTTTGAGAATCTTATCCAAACAAGCACAAACCTACAGAATTTGGCCTGTTAAAATAGTGTGGTTCAGCCTATCAAACGTCTTTATGAAGTTAACATATGGAGTGCACTGTCTTGTGATGACCTTTTCAATTTGTATATATGTACGAGAGGTGCTACGGTGATAGAGGACATCCCAATGAGGTCCTGCAGCGTTGATGTCTCAGCTTTGTCAAAAATTAGTAAAAAAAAGTCACGGTAGGTCGGCCCATTTTCCGTCACTGATGATGGCTTCCAGTTCTCTGTTTGTTTAATACGGAAGGTGGCGCTTATCCTTTCTTCAGAGCTTAAGATATGCATAAATGCTCTCCGGTGCATCATTGCCCTCAGTGCAAGTCTTTTTTGTGTTTTCCGTTTTCAGCCAGCATTCATCTGCGAACGTTTAAAGTGCCATTGCTTTATGGCAGACATTCTGGCTTCTACTCCATTTGGAGATAACGAAACGTTTGGGTGCTGTTGGTGCTACTCGTCTTCCACGATGGAGACCGCGTGATCCTCACTGCGCCTGGCTGGAGACACTACAAGTTATGGCTGCCAGCCGATGTCAGTGGCATTCTTGTTGTCAGTTTCTATCCAGATTTCATGATTAAATGTCTAAAGTTAGAGGCACCTCGGAATGATTGTGGTAAGCTAGCACTAAGTCCCTCCCCTGTCCACATTTACTCTTTTCTTTACAATAAGGCTCTCGAATAAATCAGGGTTGTACGGCAGTGAAGCGTCGATATTGAAAACTGATGTCATGCTGTCAGTGATGATGATGACTCCATTTGGAGTACGGCCATGGTTTTGCTGTTCTGCTCTTGCTGTCCAAATATTTGTGTGGTATCCAGTACAGGCGCAACTTTCACTGAATTGCCTAGTAGCTAGCGGTTAGCTCCAATAAAATTCCATGGGCCGCTCCTCATAATTCATCCTTCCAAATTATATCCATTGTGATAATTTTGTAACCATCCTTACCAGATGCTTGTTATTAACTTGATGGGTTAAACGTTGAGACCACTCGAGATCAGTCTTTGCCCCATGTTCCTTGTAGGATAAAGCAGTATTTGGGTCGGGTGTCAGTGAGCTGACTAACAAACTGAAATATGAATATACCTGAGGAGATGCTCCAGATACGTTTTAAGGGTCACTGAGATTAAGGCAAGGAATACAATATTGTATTTCTTTTTCTTATATATATATAAGAAAGAGGAGTTTGGGAAGCTAAAATCTAAATGGAGTAAAGGTTTTCTCGAGCGTTGTATTGGAAGCTTTAGTGAGCAAATTTTCTTTGCGCCCATGAGAGTATTCCATTTCGGCAACTGCCAAGCGCTGGTGGTAAAGTTTATCACGAATTTGCGAGGCTTTTATGGTGGCTTTCATGTTAAGAATGGTATCGACACTTGATTTTTGAAAGCGCTGAACTATTCCGCTCCTCTTAGAGGAGTCTATGCGTAAGTTTCGCGAGCTGATGTCGGGCTCAGGTCGTCACACTTTGACCCAGAGCCTCAGGTTCGACTGGCATAGTTGCCTCTACGTTTCCGATAGGTTTTGTTGGTAGTCCTGTATGGAGTGTCGTTTGGAGGGGATTCAGCGAATGCCTTTGTTATGCATGGTGAAAAGGGACCAGAAAACATCATGAGGATAGATGCCAAAAAAGATTTAGGCATCTGGGTCTCCTCAAACTTGTCCTTCGCACTACACCATGAGAAATCGGCCCAAAAGGCATTCGCCGTTTTACGGATGATCCGACGTACCTTCTCCCGTATTACTCGCATGGACTTCCAAATACTCTATGGGGCCTACGTCAGACCGCTCCTGGAGTACGCCAACCAAGTTGTCTACTCAGGACGTACGAAAGACGTTACCCTCATTGAGCGTGTCCAGCGGGCCGCCACGAGAATGGTTGCCGGCCTCAAGTCCGTGGACTACGAAACGCGTCTCGCGATGCTTGATCTCTTTCCCCTGGAGTACCGTCGCCTCCGAGGGGACCTAATTCTTACTTACGCCCTGTTTGAACAAAGCTTGGCAAACAGGTTTTTTACCGTTGACCCAGCAAACACCCGGCGGGGACATAGTAAGAAAATCTTCAAGCTCAGGGCACACACATTCATTAGAACAAAACTTTTTTCATTTCGGGTAGTAGCTGCGTGGAATGATCTTCTTCCGACGGTTGTACACGCTCCTTCTCGAACCCAATTTAAAGCACTATTAGACATTTATTTATGCGGATCCTCGCGCTGGCGAGCATACTGCCCCGCGCTGAGAACATAAAGAGCAGTGCTACACCCTTTTTTCACTTGTGCCTTTCAGGTGAACGACAGCCACTGACCGACAAGAACAAAACCGACCCGGGAAACTTGGGCAAAAGCCTCGATCCTGTGTATCAATCCGTGAAAAGTCCTGTATGGAGTTCTGGTTCGTTGCTTGATGCCTCGAATTAGTAACCTGGACTGTTTTTTCGTTCTGCTAGGGGCGAGATAGTACTAAAGCGCACATGGCATTGTGTTCTATCGGTATCTCCTGATTGTGGTCGATTTGAGCTTTTTGGCTAATATATATTAGCCATATATATTGATTGAAATGCACCGGTAGCAGCTGTTAACGTGCTCAAGTCTTTCTGGACAGATGCCTTCACGTGGACTATAGAGCTTACTTCTTTCTCATAATAAACTAACCATACGGTGGTGGCCAACTAAGCGGTGGTGTGTAGTATGAACGCTATGGGAGCACCAAGGGGCTGTAATTCTCCGAAGTTGCGGTTCACAGCAATCTCTGTGGACGGGAAACAGAAAGGAAGCAAGTTTGTACATTGCCAATACTTACATATAAGCCGACCAAACTGTCAGGTACCGTATACTACAGGTGCCGTAGAAAAATTTATTCATAAACTTTCACATTCACACTATGGTAACTGGGACACTCTAGCGAGTTCAAACAAACCTGTGCAACAAATATATATATATATATATATATATTGGACACCAGGAAATCGATCAAGGAGTTTCAACCTAGTTTTACATTTTCGAGATGAATAGCCAAAGATGGGGGAAATAGATACTGCAAAGCAGTGGTCATTGAACTGGCACCTCCCTCTAAATGACGGAAAGTGTGCCCGTGTGTGGCTCGGAAGAGACACAGAGAACTCCACTGACGTGCTGCACCATGAGAAATCGCCCCAAAAGACCTTCGTTTTCCTATGGATTCTTGCATGGAATCCGGACACCCTATGGGACATAAGTCGGACTGCTTCATAGATATTCCAACCAAGGTTTTCTAGCAAGGACTCATGAGAGACGCAACCCTCACTTTGCGTGCCCACCGAGCCACTACGATGACGGTTTCTGAACTTAAACCCGCTGATTAAAAAAAGCGTCCACGGAGGACTTGAACGCTTCCCTTAAAGAACCGTCGCCCCCGATGAAACTCAACTAAAACACGGAAGGTACATTGTAGAAAGACATCCAAGCTCAGGCTGCGTATATTTGTAGAGAATAGTTTATTTCACTTCTGGGCGTTGGTGCGTGGAATAACGTTCCACCCGGGGGTTGTCCACACGATGGGTGGGGGAAATAGATACTGCAAAGCAGTGGTCATTGAACTGGCACCTCCCTCTAAATGACGGAAAGTGTGCCCGTGTGTGGCTCGGAAGAGACACAGAGAACTCCACTGACGTGCTGCACCATGAGAAATCGCCCCAAAAGACCTTCGTTTTCCTATGGATTCTTGCATGGAATCCGGACACCCTATGGGACATAAGTCGGACTGCTTCATAGATATTCCAACCAAGGTTTTCTAGCAAGGACTCATGAGAGACGCAACCCTCACTTTGCGTGCCCACCGAGCCACTACGATGACGGTTTCTGAACTTAAACCCGCTGATTAAAAAAAGCGTCCACGGAGGACTTGAACGCTTCCCTTAAAGAACCGTCGCCCCCGATGAAACTCAACTAAAACACGGAAGGTACATTGTAGAAAGACATCCAAGCTCAGGCTGCGTATATTTGTAGAGAATAGTTTATTTCACTTCTGGGCGTTGGTGCGTGGAATAACGTTCCACCCGGGGGTTGTCCACACTGCATCCACAACTCAGTCGAAAACACTTTTGGTCGCCGCTTTATGTGAGTTCTTGCGCTACCAAACTTGGTGCCAGGCGCTGAGAACACGCTGGGGTGTTGCTGCACCTTTTTCAACCCATGTATATCAAGTGAACTTAAGCCGTTAAACGAACCCGACGCGGAAAGCTTGGGTGGAAGCCCCGAATTAATATACTTACCCGCGAATTTGTCGGAGTAATCACGGTGAGCGGGTGAGCCTGTCTTAGTGCTTGAGAGACAGGTTCATAAGTTGCCCAGGATGTACATAGTACATGTGTAAGGGTCGCCAAATCCTTGTTCCGAAGCAGATTCAGCAACAGCATTTGATGGATTGAAATTCTATGTTCATGGAGTCCACTTCCGTTTAGGTTTCTCTTATGGTTGCTTCTTATTTTCATTTTCCATTTTTATTACACTTTTTGCTCAACTTTTTTCACTCGTTCCTCTCTCATTGCTGTCCATTTTTGCATTTATCTTCCCTTGTTTTCGCCCTTCGGAATTGTTCCACCAGAAGAAGGCTTTTCGCATATCACATGACGCCCACTTCAAATTACTTACTCAGTAGATATGTTTTCCGCTGTATCACCACAGCACTGACTTAAACATTCAGAACCCCGGACGGTGGGACCCAACAAGATACCGTCACCCGATTAAGGCGTTTTCTGGAAACGCTGGTTCCTAGGCACGTTTCAGTTGTTCAGCAGCCTGGCGCTCCTGTGTGTTCAACAGCCAACTCCTCAGCAATAGTCGTTGCTGTCCGTTGCTGCAGACAGCATCTCGAGCCTAAATAATAACAACGTTCCGAGTCAGAATAACCCTCGCTGAAACTTGGAGTCTTTGACCAGCTACCCAATTTTGTTTCAAGGAAGGAGGGTTCAAGTATCTTAATGCATTCATGATGTGTATATGCAACATCAAGATGACATCCTTAGTCGTCACGCTTCGGAATCTTCAGGAGAGCGGCGACCTTCTTTAAGACGAGTGGCCAGGTCTGGGCAAACCACCTAAGTTACAGCAGCACAATGTATTTGAGATGCTCTGGCTAAATCTCTGACTTTCGAGGCCACACGGAGATGAGCAGCAATTTAAGTTTTCTCTACACTTTTGCGGTACTTGTTAATAATGATAATAATAATAATGTTTATTCTCAACTGGTGGGCGCCATGCCGTCTGGCATGGTCATTTTTTACAGTCAGAATGAAGCATGACTGAGGGATTTGCGGGGGTGCGGATTGTGCGAAAAGAGGACAACTTTATAAACGGTTGGAAATGTCCGATAGAATAATAATAATAGGTTTCCCTCCCAAATTGTTGGGAACAATGGGCTAGAGGTCCGACTAGCTCAAAGACAGCCAGCTGCAATAAACTAAAAGCTAAAACCATTGCTTGCCACAGACCGACAAGAACACACTGACCGACAAGAACAAAACCGACCCGGGAAACTTGGGCAAAAGCCTCGATCCTGTGTATCAATCCGTGAATCCGTGAACGAGTGACCTTGGATGGTTGGGTGAATGGCCGGAGCCACAACGAGCAAAAGTGGAGGTGGAGATGGAACAATTTTAATTGGGAGCACATGGTGTGTTTTGTCTCAAAAATGTTGTTTAATCTTGAACTAAGCAGAATCATTGGTTGCAATGACGTCGGGGAAACAGGTGCAGGGTAGAGGTTAGATGGGAGCAAGATGCCAATAAATAGTGCGACCCGAACACCGTATACGGAGTTGAACTTGTGCAGGAGGCAAACCGAAATTGTAGCAGAAAAACCAGGCTTGCAAAATTTGAGCGAAAACTAATCGGGTATGAAAGAGCTCGTCCCAGAAACGGGGGCGGATGAAAAATCTGCTCGATCAGCGTCCGAGCGGCGTCCCTGAATTATCACAAAATCAAAGGCTAAGTCCCCGGCGCCTTGTACCTGCTCCGTTATGGTGAACTCGGAGGGAGCCCACAATTGCTTTGGGACGTCAAACTGAGAAAACAGTCCCTGGCTGCACATAATGTTGTTTGCATTTCATGGCCGATTCCCTGATGCTATAAAGCATAGGTTGGCAGACATTACCCAAGTACTATGTCGCTCACAGCATATGCTAAATAGCCGTGAAACTTGTTTAACTGTAGTGACACTTGATAGGGAAGAAAGCATAGCCTATATGAACTGGCGTCAGCCCTTGTTGCCGCTAACTAGAAGCAATACCAAATTATTTTCACCGGAACTATAGGGTTTTCAAATTTGTAACTTTTTTGCCGGTTTGCGCGAAATTAAACACGAAACCGCACCGCAGTATGTTTTGGCGCTCCTTGTTGTTCATCAGGAATAAAAACATTTGAAGAATATCTAATATAAATTTCAACCTGAAAGATCGGCCATTGACGTTTGTTTGCTTTACACTCCTCAGAGTTAACAAATGATATGACTCCTTAAACAGCAGCATGAATTGTGCAGTGGCAATACGAGTGCCATCCCCGTAGATGACGCTCCTCACCAGATGTGCGTAACTAGCCCGTAGATAATACAGCATCACGTGATAGTTGCCGGTATCAACATGACGCTCTGTAGTTGGTGACCGCCACAAAGCGGTCGCAATGACAGCAACGATAATGATAATGATAAGGATAATGTTTATTTCCCAAATTGTCCCTGGCATACCTTCGAGGATGATAATGCGTTTACAGTCAGAATTGGGCATGTGACTGGGGGACTTGCGACTAGTGGGGATTCCGCAAGATGGGGACAACGTTATGAACAGTGAGGAGTATTCGATGAGATAATGATAACAGGTCTCTTTCGCAACATGTAGGGAACAATCGGTATGAGGTCCGACTAATTCAAAGACTCAGTCGGTTGACATGAACTGCTGGCCACGAGTGACCTTGGGCGGTTGGGTAAATGGCCGGAGTCACAACGGGATAAAGTGGAGGTGGAGATGCGATAATTCGAATTGGGAGAACATGGCAAGTTTAGTCTCAAAAACATGGTGCAATCTGAGAACGACCAGACTCACTGGTTGCACTGTTGTAGGAAAGTTAAGTGCTGGGGTAGGGTAGGATGAGGACACAAAGGTGGTTGGATTAAAATGAGAAGTCCAACAGGTTGGAATGAATGTCATGGTGGTAGTTGGGGTCAATGAATCGAGTAGGCAAGAGGGCTCAGTTGGGAGGAGGGATGGAACAGTTGCGATGTGCTGTCAAACTCAGTATGGCAGTGCCGCGCCATCATTGGCCTAACATGCTTCAGTTTTTGGACAGCCCCGTGACGGACGTCACATTTGAGATGATTCGGCTGAGGGTATGCGGTTCATTGGGCAGCGGTACTCATTTAGACTGGTCTAGGAAATTAGCTGGAACGAAGCCGATATGGGATTGTAGGGCTTTTGTGGTCCGCTTGGTGGTCCCGGGGTTGCAGATCATAGGCCAGGTGGAGCGAATATCAGCTAACCAGGTCGTCCGAAACGGGCACTTCCGAAGTTCAACGCTTGGGAACATGAGGGGATGGGAGGAGATTAGCAAAACATGGTGAAGTTGAGGGGATATAAAATGGGATAATATGCATAAATATACACAGAAAGAAAAACCTGGCGTCTGCTGCAATTAGGGTGATGACAGGTGATTATATGGAGTGTGAGATAGAAAGATTTGTACTTAGCAGGCTAGCGACCAGGGGCTGAGTTTGCTAACCTACGACATTACATCAAGGGATCTAGTAAAAGCCGATAAAATCGCGTAGAAACGTGGTATGGGAAGCAGATGCATAAGTGGACTTCTAAGATTACTGGATAATCTAGAGTTTATTACAC